ACAACGGGAAACTTACGGAAGCCTTCGAAGTGAGGACGGGAGTGAGGCAAGGCTGTCTACTATCACCAATGATCTTCCTGATTGCAATTGATTGGATAATGCGACAGACAACGGCAACCAACGAGGGAACAGGCATAAAATGGACTGACACAAAAGACTTGGAGGATCTGGATTTCGCCGATGATATATGTCTGATTTCCCATAAACTGGAAGATATGCAAGTGAAAAGTAACAAGTTGGCAGAAGAAGCATCAAAGATAGGACTTCACGTGAACATAGATAAACAGAGATAATGAAGATTCCTAGCCAACATCAACAGAACAACACCAACAGACCACAATAAGCATAAATGGGAAGAACCTGAAAGAAACAACCTCCTTCACCTACCTGGGAAGCATCGTCTCAACTACAGGCGGAACTGACGAGGACATCAAAGCCAGAATCGGAAAAGCAAGACAAGCTTTCATTACTCTCAAGTCTGTGTGGAGGTCAACAGCACTCAGCATCAAAAATAAGATCCGGATTTTCAACTCCAATGTGAAGTCAGTGCTACTATACGGATCAGAGACTTGGCGAGTCATAAAGAGCATCTCAAACAAACTTCAAACCTTCATTAACAGTTGTCTTCGCTCAATACTCAAGATCAGATGGCTGGCCAGAAAAGATCAGCAACAGGGATCTGTGGGAGCGAACCAATCAGGAACCGATTGTGAAACAAATAGGCAGAAAGAAATGGAGATGGATTGGCCATACACTGAGGAAACCATCAAGTGACATCACTAGACAAGCCATCACTCGAGTGGAACCCGAAAGGGAGGCGGCGAGTTGGTCGTCAGTGCAATTGTGACTTGGAGGAGATCATACGAGGAGGAGATGAAAGCATGTGGACAGACCTGGAGCAGGGTGAAAAAGTTGTCAGAAAACCGAAGGCAATGGAGGTGCGCAGCTGAAGCCCTATGTTCCTCTAGGAACTAAAGGATACAATAATAATAATAAGGTCATTGATATTTTCATCTCCCACTTACCCACTACCACCTTGGTTGACTGTTCTTTAACTTCGATTACTCTTTTTTGACCCAATGAACATTCTAACATTTCTAACAGAAACCGAAAGCGAAATATAGGAAAATAAGGAAGGATTATAGTTAGCCCAGTATTAGGCTCCTACTAAACAAAAACACTTATTTATATTCAGGGCTAATGATACTACCAAGTTATCCAGGCTGAAGAAGAAGAAGAAGTGAAGCGGAATATGAAACGGCAGCCCATCGACGACTGAAAGTTGAGTGTCATAAGCCTATGGAAGCACAACCACAGAAAACAACAACAGCAACAAATTGCCCCTCATCGCTGTGGGGTGAAGGAGGGGGGGGGACAAAAACACAAGTCTACGAAACAAGGTTCTGTGATCATAACGTACTTTAGCAAATAGAACCTGTCACGTTGCAAAGATGTTTTCTTCAATCAAACTGTAATTAGATTGTTCTACAATTGCAGGTTTGGAAAATATATTTCCTCATCACATACAACGATTAAATAAACAATTTTAAATTATCAGGTTATCAGGAATACCGCCAGTAAAAACAAAAAAGAACGTGGTATAACAAGGCACCATAATAACAAATCTCTTCGTCTTACGCATAACACAAAGGCGAAATAGAGAACAATAAGGAGAAAAAACGAAACTAGGGAAAATTTTCAGTCATGGGTATTAGAAATTTTTAAAACATTTAATTTGAGCGCTGCAGCGCTTACACAAATTTTGTTAAGACATAAAAACAAAAGATTTCCTATGAACCGGAAGTCATAAACTTCGTATATGGTTAGGACTGATGCATAGTACAAGGTGGTCAGTCACCCACGCCTTAAGATTGGTGAGAGGCGATACATTACTGACTGACTGACTGGTTTCAACATAGAACTCCACACAGATGTGCACCTGTTCCAGTTGCCACACTCCCTTCATACAGCACACACAAAGCAAGAGAAGAAAGTAAAAGGATCTTCACAAGACAGATGATAAACCGAAGTGTGAGTGAAAGACAATGAGGAGTTAGTAATATGGAAGAAGAATAACAGAGTCCTATTGGCTATTATAAATCAAAAGGAGTGAATGCATCTGCATCAGCCATTGACAACGACGATTTTCAGTCATATCACTGATAACAGTCTTCTGCCTCAATTGGTTCTTACCAGGCAGCCAGTCTACACCTTGCTACGTGGCTGGCTAGCTGGCCTAAACTAAATATAATGGATTTGATTGACTGATAAAGCCATGTTTTGGTTTGAACACCACCACAACTAGGTCTTTCCCAACAACCTGATTGATCCTATGTCGGGAGCTAAGATTGCCCGCTGTCGAGGAAGGCGATCGATGGCTAAGCTAGACAAGGCAAGGCATACGTAACACATGTCCTCACAAACCCTCTCAATCGATATAACTTCACAACTTCGTCGACTGACTGTCCCTCCCACCTATGTAGCACTCGACCGATGCCTCACTTCAATATTACTCACCTTATTGTCCATACTATTTAAGACGAGAAAGGGTTAACCTTTTCCTGTGAAAGTCTACTGACTGACAGAAAGAAATCAACCGCAAGTTAGACAGTATTCCTCCTGTCGACTGATACTAAGGTAAAGTATTCACATAGTTAATCAAGCTACCTCCTTTTTTATTATTCAGGTATATGAAGTGAATTGCACGTTCATTGGAAAAATTTTCATCACACTAATTGCACACATGACAACACCACAAGAGAAGAATATTTGTATAAACACAAACAAAAATATCACACATTCATTGAACATGAAATGAAACCTCACGTGGAAAGAGGAGATTCGAAGGATAGGAAATGATTTTTATACATGCAAAACTGTCTTACACAATAACAGTTAGAAAAACTGATTATCAGATAATATGTCTCTACAATCTACATAAATGACACAATCTTTATATTATATAATTTTAACAAGTTCATCCAATGAGAACATATTGTTATTATTATTTATTCTTCAAGTATTGGTTTGTAGGGATTTTGTTTTGATTGGTTGGAGGATTTCATCATGAGCTGACATCAGTTTAGAGAACCAACGGAAAACCAACTGGGAGCAATATTGAGGTTAAGCGTTGAGTGCTAGGTAGGTAGGTGTGAGGGGGAAACGACGAGGCTGTGAAGCTACATCGACTGACAGATATCGTAAGGACAAGTATTACACATGCCTAGGCCTAGCTATCGCCTTCCTCAACAACCGGCAATGTTAGCTGATATAGGGTCAGGTTGGAAAACAGCCACTGGTGGTCAAACCAAAACATGGATTCACCAGTCAGTGAAATCCATAACAGTTAGCTTCAGCCAAGTAGGAAGGTGTAGACTTCTGGACTGGTTGGGGTCATCGGGATGGTAAAAACCAATGAAGGCTGGAGACAACTCATCGTTCTCAATGGCTGGCACAGATGCATCCACTCTTTGTAACTTATAATATACAATAAAAATATATGGTTCGTGGATATTACTATTCTTTACGCTTGATATCTCTGTTTACTGTCTCTATTTTGACTTCCTTTTTACTTCCTTCTTCTGATTTGTGTGCTACAAGGAGGGAGTGTGGTGACTTGAACTGCTGCACATTGGTGCAAAGTTTCATGTTGAAACCAGTCAGTCAGTGAGTCACCAAATTCCTCAATCCATAAACACAATGTGAGCTGATATAGGATCAGATTGCAAGGAGAGTCAATGGTGGGTCAAACTAAAACATGGAATCAGCCTATAAAATCTTTAACTGTTGTTTTTGCTAACCACATATACAAGGAGAGAGAGAGAGAGAGGTGTAGAGACTGCTGGGTTGAGATCCTTGGGGTGGGTGTGTATGTGCTAAGAACCAATGGATTGAGACTATTGGTGATGTGGCTTCAAGTCGCTGCATGTCAACGGGGACTGAGGCATTCACCCCTTGTAATCACCTAGATCTATTGAAACCCCTCGTATTTCCTTCCTCTGCGACACACATTTCTGCTCATTACAGTCCTTTTGAATTTCTTTCTTCTTATCTCCATCTTTAAGGTGGCATGTGGTGGAGTGTTGGACCAGTGCACTTTTGTGCAAAGTTCTATGTTGAAACTTAATCAGAATGGACTGGTCCTGCGATCAGATATATATATGCCTAATAAATCGCTGCAAATGAATAGTTAGATAACTCAGAATTAAAGCCTCTACCATGACAGACAATGAAATTTAAGTTCATCTGAAAGCAGATGTGATGTTATGTCTGACTGGCTCTATACATCCGTTTTTCCCCTTATGACATTCTTTACAACTATAAAAAATACTTACACATTCTACTGAAAACGCATCTTTTTAGTTGCTTGAATTCCAAGTGAAAACAGCACACTTTAAAGCTTCAGTGGCGGTGGTATTTTTAAGAGACGGAAGTCGCTAGTCTCACACAATCAGTAATCCCTCATTTCCCGGCTTACTACTACTAGCTAGGTAATGTCAAAAGAAATGAGTCGACAGGGAAGGGAACTGAACCCCAAAAACTCCCGCATGGTTGGAAAACATTCTCTACCATTTGATCCAACGAATTCAGTGATACGCGGCATAATTTGAAATAGAGTACTTGTAAAATCAGGAAAGATTCTCCTGCTAGTTATATAGAGGAAAAGCAACTAGGAAACTAAAATCAATCGAACATACGCTGATGACGATAAACACTCAAGTGATATCACACACCAGGTCATTGCTCAAGTGGAACCCGAACAAAAAGCGAAGAGTTAGTTCGGCTACCGAGGATGACGTAATAAGAAGTGAAAGTTTGTAGACAGTAGTGGAGCGAGCTAAAACAGACGACAGAGTGAATAGATTGTGAAAGTGGAGAAGGGGGCGGGAAATTGTCACTGAAGCCCTATGCCCGTCCAACTCGGAGCCCAGGTTACGAATTATGCATATATCAATAACAAAGGCAACTACTTTCTAAAAAATATATATATTACTACTTACTGATTCCGATCGATGACATCGTAGACCTGCGCAAAAAGCACGGAATTGTAGTCGTTTTGCTGTTGGATTCACAGATGCATGATCACGATTTGACTCGGATGAACTGTAAATGGTGGGAAGAAAAAAGAAAAGTATTAACTCGACGACTAATTAGATATTGAAATTCAAAAAACAAGAAAAAACGATCCATAGACATAAATAAAAATGAACGAAATATTCCCATAGTGAGTCACATAAGAAAAAGGCCGTAAACCGAGATGAAAAAGGCGACATCGAAGCAGAAATTCTTAGAAACCGTTTTTCTAAATGTCTGAAGAAGACGCATTACACATTCTCCAGCAGACAAATAATCCAGCCTAACGTTAAGGATAAGATACCACTTTTGGCCATCTCAGTGGTAAGCATTCATCACTTTACTTGTTCGTATGGAGCAAAGTATATCTACCTCAAGTCCGTAAACGTATTCTGGAACACGGTCCAGCCTAGTTATTTAGACAGAGGAGAAAAGAGGAATGCCAGCAGCTCCATCCCGGAACACCTTGTCAACTCTGGACACCGAGCACCCCGACTCCGCATGAATGCTTCACAGTGCTACACAGAGTTCCTCAATACTGTAGAAAAGGACTTCGAATACACCATCTGTACATAGCTGAATGATTGGTTATTCGGGATCTGAAACCGGACCTCTGCATTCCAAAGTACATACACTCGCCCTACCGTGGCCAGAGTAATGTTCTTACTATACTCTGCTTCATTTTACTACGCAGGTTTACCACTATTATTATTATTATTCTCGTCATCCGTATTTTATTATAACTCTATTACTGTTTATTAATAGAACTGCGTTTTCATACAGATTTTATATTAAAAACACTTTATCGTCTTTCCACTAGTTCTTGTCCACTCTACACGAGCTTACTGATTAATCATTATCTCATACTTATTACGTCATGTCAACTTCTGTCTCTTTTCTAACTTACAATTAATCATCCCTTCCATGTTACATCTTACATTATGTAATACATTTTTCGAGGACAAATTTCACTAGTAGCATCTGATTGGTCTAATGAATTCTTTGTTAAATATAATTACGATAATTGTACATCTTACGAAAATGAATCATCGAAAAGAAAATTTTCTTTGCCTATTTACATAAGTTAAAAATTCAGCTAAAGAGAATTACGCACTTCGTTGAAGTACAAAACGCTTTATGCAAGTAACAAATTAGTACACACCATACCGCGTGCGATGTCATCCGACGATCTCCTCAATAGCATGTGCCGCCGAGTCCATCTCCATTTTTTCCTACATATTTGCTGAACAACAGATTCTTGGTATATTATTTTCCAAGGGTTTCTTGTCGCTAGTTCTTTCTACGAGTTGATCATGGATTGATATCAGTATGAAAACCGGTCAGGAGTACTGGATAGCCAGCTGTTTCATCCTAGTTTGGGAATCATCAGCAGTACGCACCCACCACAACCACTTCGAACCCAGGACCTTCCGGTTACAAGGCAAGCTGGCTCGTATACCATTCAGCCACTGGGACCCGAACTATAGAAAATTAATCTGATACTCGCTAGTGACTTACTACAGGATGGAGTTTCCTGCAGTGAGTTCTAGTGAGAAGTTGTGACCAGATGTCACGTGTGAGGATGGATGTCCCACCACGTACGACAATGGTTAGGGGTCGCGCTAAATCAAGAATTGATAGAAGTTAGAATTCAGGAACTGGCCATTGAATCAGGTCCCAGTGGCTGAATGGTATACGAGCCAGCTTGCCTTGTAACCAGAATGTCCTGGGTTCGAACCCTGATGGTGAATGCGTACTGGCGATGATTCCCATACTAGGATGAAACAGCAGCTGTCCAGTAATTCCTGTGGCTGATTTTCAATGGTTCTCTAACTCATATCAATCCGTGATCAATTCGTAAAAACAAAACTAACCCTTACAAACCAAACTATATAGAAAGCTAATTCTTTCGATAACTCACAGGCATATATAACTAATACTCAAATAAAACTACTCCAATTTAATTTATTCTTGATCACATTTGTGTTTCTCATTGTGGATCGTTGTTTTTTGGTTTTTTTTTTCATTTTCATGTAATACTACTGAACGTGTCATTTTCTATGAAGACAGGTTGTGATGTGATGAGTAACTTCGATCAATAAGCAACTATCAGGACATGACTAATAATAAAATTGTATTTCATCTGTCATTAAACTCCTCAACATACAATAAACACACACACACACATGCACATGAATCACTTCACATCAAACAATAAGGTCAATCTCAGTCAATTAAAGAAAAGAATTCACTGACATCACTTGTGCTGTATTCATAAAACGGCAGTATTAATCGATTTATATATGCGCATACAATTAATTTACTGCAAAGTAATGTAATGAAAACAGCAACACTATTGTTTGACATGTAATATGATACGTTGGAGCGGGATGATGTTGTGTATTCTCAACATGTGCAAAACAACACGTGGTCGCAAATCCATCAGTTTCTGTCTTGCAGTTGTTGTTTTTTTGTGATAAAAACTGACACTGCGGTTGTAATAATTGATTTATTATTTTGTTATTATTACTGTTCCCTTGGTTTCCGAGTTGAACATAAGCCTTCAACAAAACATCTCCACCTAGCTTCTGTTTTCTGCTATTCTCTGCAACTAAGCCCATGATTGTCTACAATCTCTCATCTCCTGACATGATCTTCTCTCCATGTGGCCGTTGGACGACCCACTTGTCGTTTCCCATTCGAGTGGGTTCCACTCAAACGATGACCTGGCTGGAGTGCGATGTAATCTGACAACCTCCTCAGTGCGTGCCAATCCATCTACATTTTCTCCCAACTATTTCTTGAACGATAGGTTCTTGGTTAGTTTGTTCCCAAAGTCTCTTTTTGCTAACGATTTCTCACTAGCCATTTGATCTTCAATATGGCACCATAGAATGGGGCAGTTGTTGATAAAAGTCTGCAGTAGCCTGTTGGAAACCATCTTGGTAATACTGTCTGTCTGTCTGTCTGTTTTCGACACAGAACTTTGCACAAATGTGCGGAAGTTCAAGTCGCCACATTCCGTGTAGCACGCGAAGCAAGAGAAGAAAGTACAAGAAAAGCATAATAGAAACAGCGAGCAGAGGTGTGAGACAAAGGAGTAATAAAGAAATACAAAACAATTTCATTGAAGATCATAAGTCACAGGGAGTGGATGCATCTGCGCCACTGAGAACGGTTTTGAGCCATGTCACCAATTGTTTCCAACCATAGATTTTTACCGTCCCGAGGACCCCAGCCTGGAAGTCTACACCTTCCTACGTGGCTAAGACCAACTGTTGTGGATTTCATTGACTGATGCCAAGTTTTTGTTTGACCGCCGCTAGCTTTTTTCCAGCCTGACCCTATATCCGCTAACATAGCTCGTCGAGGGAGGCGATGACTTGGCATACGTAACACATGTCCTAACCATCTCAGTCGATGTAGCTTCACGACTTCGTCGATTGATTTCCCCTGTTTACCTAGAACTCTACGCCTAACCTCCATGTTGCTCACCTTATTATGCCACTTTACACGGGAAATAGAACGCAGGCACCTATGATCAAAGGCAGCTAGTCTTTTCATGTCTTCCACTCTCAGTGGCCAGGTCTCACAGCCATAAAGGAGGACGGAGCGGACTGATGAGCAGTACACCCGCCCTTTGGTCGATAGTCGAACATCTCGTCTACGCCAGAGTCGGCGTAAACTAACAAATGCGAAACGAGCCCCTTGTATTCGTGCTGAGATTTCGTCAGAGATCAGCCGTTGGTAATACTCCAAGTTTCTGATCCATATAGAAGCACTGACTGACTTCACATTGGTGTTGAACGGAATCCGAATCTTGTTCTTTTGCTGGCTGAGTGAAGAAGATTTCCGGAGTGATTTCAGAGTGATGGAGGTCTGGTGTGTCTTCCTTATTCTAGCCTGCATTGACAACTTCATCCGTTCCCCGCTTATGGTCAAAACGATGCTTTTAAAGTGCTAATTTGTAGGGGACTTGATTGATTCCTCTCTCCTGAGTGAGGTGAATAATGTGGGTGAGTAATGCTCAACCGTTCACAAGTAGGACAAAACAGCTGTACAGTATACTCTCCCAGATGGTTCTCCAACTGATGTTAAAATCTTTGATCAAACTTGGAATAACCATTTGTTTTGAACCAGTAGAAACAGCCTGCCAGCTGTAGAAGAAGCTATCAAGTAGGTACTCTTTCCTCTTCATAATATGAGGAGATGATAACGTTTCAGTTCAAGTACGGATTCTCCCCTTCTCATTTAAAAGGTGAGTCAGCATGAAAAACTCTGCACAAAAGAAGTGAGTTAATTCAGGATGCAAACACTTCGTAGAATTAATTTAAAAAGTATCCACTACAGTCCTACATTGAGGTGGATCGTGAGCCCCAATAGCTTAGTAGTGGTGGTGACTGCAGGACTACACTAAGTGGTGTGACACGAGTTCGAATCTCAGAAGAGACATGAGTTCCACTTAAAGTTTGCGGATACACCATCGCTGGCTGATGAGTGCCAACAAGCACGAAATCTAAGTCCGATAGGGCTTCTCCCCTTCCCATTGTCACCAAACATTCATAAACATTTCTTTCAGAGTGCACTGTGATGACGAGCTACCTAACATGGCGTCGCCCCACACTGCAAAAATACCTCAGAATTCAGTCTGAACGAAACAAGGGACATTTGCTACATCCTACCTAGTGAGTAAATATTCAAAATTACTAAAAAACAATCGTGAAAATAAAAAACACAAAACACTCAACGCTCACCTGTAATTATTTGTTTTCGTCGCCAAACCATCTTTAGCATTGTTTGCACCACTACCGCCAAGAACAACAGGTGATGAATAAAAAGGCAGGTGTTGTGTTGTAGAGAATTCACTGCCTCCAGGTACACTTTTCTCCATAGTATATGATGATGAACCTGTCATTGGATGACTAGCAGCACCAGGATAACGACGCATATTGTTAATGGCAGTTGTAGGCGTAGCAGACAGTGCTGCTTCTGCAGCTTTTGCTGCAGCCGCCTGTTTACTGGCTAATCGTTGGCTTTCTAATTCAAGTAAATGATATACCTCGCCTGCACGTGTCCACAACTCTGATACAGATTCATTCTGATCTTGTTCAAATGATGATGACCATAGGCGGGAAGTTATTAGGCTTGGTTTACCAGTGGTAGCAGTAGCAACAGCGGCGCCATGTGTTACAGCACTGTGCATAGATTTACCATGAAAATCGGAATCTTCTTTAGCTGAAAATGGTAAACAAGATGAGTAAATCAATAGAAAGGAAGACGATTGGCAGGTGGGGTAAAAAAAACACTTCTTTTTAAAACCAGTTAAATGATTCTCAAACAACACTCCCACGATATGTCTGTACATATTGAAAACAAATAAGTAGAATGTAAGGGCCATCAAAATACACTTTTATTTATGAACAGTACTCTACCTTAAAAAAATATATATATATCACAATCAATTAAGGATTGGCTAGTTACCAGGGGGTATGGTCTTGTTGACTTAGAATATTCATATGAATATAGTCTCCCTATAGACCTTTAACAACCACTGTCTTCGCTGGATCTATACTGAAGATCAGATGGCCGGGCCGGAAAGAATCACCAACAAGGAACTATGGGGACAGACAAACAAACAAAACAAGAACCAATCACCAACCAACAAATATGCGGGAGAAAGTGGAGATGAATTGGACACACTCGCTGAGGAGGCTGCTCGCTGGGTGACATCGCGCGTCAGGCCCTCGAGTGGGACGTCCAAGGGTGACATGGAGGAGATCGTGTGAAGAGGAGCCGAAAGAGTATGGACTAACATGGATGCAGGTGAAAAGTACAGGAGAAGACAGAAGCAAGTGTAGACGTGCAGTTGAAGCCCTATGTTCCACTAGGAACCCAAGAGAACAATAATACTAACAAATAATAGTCTCCCTAGGTGAAGATGCGGATAGAATACAGAGTTTTCTGAACATCTTGAGCAGCGAGCAATCTTCGAATATTCGGCATCCAGTTCCCTCCTCTCAAATGTCAGATAGTGCTACAGGACTGGACTAGGTTGGATTACACCGACTCCTACTCTAAAGACAGGGAGTGAATCAGTGGAGAGTGTTGACGAATTCACGTATTTCATAAGCTGTATCAGCCGCAACGGAACGATCGCTGAGAAAATCTCATCACGGATACAGAAGGCTGATGTTCGATTTGCCAGCTTACGTCATTTCTGGAGCAGACGTAATATCCTACAGGCTATTGATGAAGGGACATGCGCAACAACTGACTCTGTCTTCCTTTATGTCTGTGAAATATAGCCATTAAAAGTGGAAGATGTGAAAAGGCTGTCTTTTTCCAAAGATGTCTGCGTTCTAGGTCCCGTGTTAAGTAGTATAATATAATACGACGAGAGTTATATTGAGGTTAAACATCGATTGTTCGGTAAGAAGGAAAAGTCGACTAATGAGTTTGTGAAGTTATATCGATTGGGATGGCTAGGACATGTGTTGTACAGTCTAACCATCGCCTTCTTCGATGGGTATTGTAAGCTAAGATACGATGAGGTTAGAAAAGTGTTTAGAGTGGCTACATCAAAATATGACTTCAATCCACGAAGCCTTTGAATGTCAGCTTGAGACATTTAGTGAGGTGTGTAAAAAGTCTAGCTGAGGTTCCTCGCGAAGATACAAATCAATAGCTGGTTACTGTTAGTGTAATATAGCTCGAAATCGTTGTCAGTGTTGCTCACTCTTTATTCAACTCCTAGATCTACTGAATCCTCATTCTCTAGTAGCTTTCTGTTTATCACAGTTCTATTGAATTCCTCTTTTTTATTCACGTTTTTCTGCCATACAGATTGCAGCAAATTGAACTGGTGTACTTATGTGAGCAGTTCTATGGTGACACTCAGTCAGTCAGTCAGTTGTCCCTAAAATCGCCGTTCATTTGTACTTCTTAAGTAAAACAAGAAGACAGGACCAAAGTATCAAGTAACAGCAATTCAAATGAATGAATGATCGAGAATAGCCATCCCGAAAAAATTTATCAAGAAACACATGACAAAGAAAATGGCGGAGAAGGCCTGCTCACTATCCATAAACAAGAAGCCTCTTTATATACGACTACAATTCAAGGGCGATATACCAAGTGAGATAATTACAAAGAAATTAAGAAAATCAGTTCAAAGAACTTTTAATGCTGGCGAACTATACGTCTTATTCTCTCTCTACACGACCGATGGTGCTACCTCGACTGAAAGATGAATGAAGTACCTAGACTAGCTAGCCACTTCAAATTGTATATACTAATTCAACTGCGCTCGGTATGGAGCGAGCTATATCGGCCGTTGTTGCTCTAGGAACTTGATTTTTCGTGCTCGCTCAAGAACATCTCCCACTATGGTTAAGTAAAGGTGTAGTTAAAACCATTAACAGTGCAATATTGAACCATCTGGTGCAAACCGGTCGGCCACAAAGCCAGCCAGCATTGAAGAATCCTTCTATATCATCTACCGCGTGCCTAATAAAATGCCAAACTCATCGAAGCACCGCATGCTCCTAACAGCAGAGGCTATTGCAATTCTCCTCGAACAACCAGTGCTCTGTGTGCAAAAGAAGCAAGTCCAGGTAGCCACTACTACTGCTCTGGTCGGCCTTCAGTAGAGACTACAAATTCATGAATTTGTACTGTTATCTTTCCTAATTTTTCTGACATTCAGCTTATTGTTATGTTGACCCTACTGAACTGTAATCTATCGATATTAGTGATTCGATGTTATTTAAACATTATTGTTGTTCATAACACTGATTCATTCATTCACTATTATGGATGAATATATAACTGTAGAGCCTGATGATGAAATTATCGGAAAGAGTATTCTTTGTGCAGTATCCATTCTTTTGAAAATTTTTATAGGCATTTTTGATCAGTTAAACTCAAACTTTTAATGAGCTCTATAAATGTGTAACTATATATATATATATATATATATATATATATATATATATATATATATATATATATATATATTTCAATAGCCCAACACAGAAGATCTATACAAATTATGATTGGGAGATAAGGTGTACATAGTTTCGCCATACTTTTATTATTCCTTCACGTTCCCAGTGGAATATAGGGTCTCAAGTTAGTGGTTTGAAGAATCTGTAGCATTGTTCAATTTTACAGGGTGAAGTTGCTAGCCTCATGCCCAACCTTTCCTCTTCACCAGTCTTATTACTGGTTTAGCGAGGTAAAGGATTGCGTCCAGTAGCCGGGGACCGAACCCCGGACCATGTGCATGGTCGGCGAGCGTCTTAACCGCTGTGCCATCAACGCACTCGCGTAACTAAACATTATATACTAACTACGTGAAGCCCGGAATTCAAATACGCAAGTAAAAATCAAAGTTGGCTTTTATCTCAGTTACTCAACAATCACCTGCAATTACTTCCCATTGACGTACACAAACACACACACACCTATTGTGTCAGGACTAAGTAATGCTACCTGACTGTCCAAACCTCAAACGGTGGAGCAGGATTCGAACCGCTAGCTGCTGAGTGTCTCTACACTAATCAATCATAACCCCAAGTTAGAAAAAAATTTCCACAAAGATGCCATATGATTATAGTTACAATTTAATGACGGTTATCTTAGTGGATTCTTCACTCACGTGATGATGATGACAATGAAATATTCAATCTGCGTACATCTGCTGGAGCAATTCTTGTAGGAGGCGTTTCCAGATTTGGGTTAGCGTCATACGTTTGTGGAATATGCGACCGTAGACTTTGACCACCAGAGCTACGACGACGCGGTAAATGAGTAATCTTCGGTTCAATATTCTGATTTTTAATTGGTGTCTTTTGGTTAGTAGTAACTGCAGGTAATAGTTGACACGGTGATGTATTAATAGTGTTTGATAATAATGCTGATGATGATGATGGGGGTGGGATTATTGTTGAAGGCATATCGGAATGGTTGATTGTGGTGGTGATGGTAGTATGAGGAGGAGCATAAGAAGGAGAAGTAGGAGAAGTGTGAATTGTAATATTATTTTGAGAAGTTAGCAAATTCACTTGATCATATCGACCTGGATGACGAGCTGATGCATAAGCACGTTTACGAATAAATCGAACACGGAGAGTATCAGTATTTGTCTCTTCTAATACAGATGAATCGATTGTATGCTTACGAATAATTCGAACACCTTCTTTGTTAGTTCTTGTTGAATTAGTGATGTTGGTGGTTGTGGTGGTAGATGGATTGTGATGATGACAACTGGTCGATTTGACTGTGGTGGCATGTTTAACATCATCATTTTTTCCTGAAGGATTATGAATCAATTGAATTGAACTAGGCGGAATAGTATTCTCTTTACGACCTTCACTAGGTAAAAGGTTGTTTGACAGCAGGGGACCTGTTGACGAGTGATTGTACTCAAGGGGTTCTAAAATGTGAAACAGGAAAAAAGTTAAAGCACTAAATTTTTTCGAGGAACAGGGTGAAGAGAAACATTATTCAAGTGTTGGTTTGTAGGGATTTGGTTGATTGGTAACAGGATTTCATCATGAGCTGACATTAGTTAGAGAACTATTGGAAAACCTGGGAGTACTGGACAGCTGTTTCGTCAGCCTAGTTTGGGACTCTTCAGCAGTACGCACCCACCACAAGGGTTCGAACCCAGGATCTCCTGGTTACAAGGTGAGCTCGTATACCATTAAGCCACTGGGGCCCGATTTGATGGCTCATGAATTCTAACTTCTGCCAATTCACGATATAGTGCGACCCCTAGCCAATGTCTTCGGCAAATATTTGTCCTCACAACCGACCTGAATGAAGTACAAGGATTCTGTTAGTTATTTATTGCATATAACTCACCATCAGATAACAATCTAAACGTGAATACCAGTCAGACACCATGTTGTACTCAGTAAAACCTCATAGAATAGAATGAATATATCATCCCTTTCTAGGGATGTTTTGATTCTAATGAGAACGAAATCATTCACCTGAGTTAACATTTACATAATACAAACAAGATGAAAGATTATATTAAGCACATTAAACTACGTGAGATAGTAGACGTTGTCAAATTATGTCGCAGTATCGGCTCATCGATGGGGACACTGGATTCCAAAAAAATGAATATCACATCTCAGGAATACCACGTGATTTAAATTAATAGTCCCCTCTCCCATTGAGACATAGACTAATCAGTAGTGCAGTGGTAGAACCAGACAAATCGTCGGTGTTCAATTCCCAGTCGACGCCGCGCTTAGAAGGTGGGAAATTCGATGAACAGAGAGGGAAGGTTAGAAAAGAGGCTAGAAACCTCATCGCGCAGAAACAATACCAGTGCTCACTGACGGTTACTGGATGGATGACTGTCCTGAAGCTGCAGTGAGGTCCACAATGTGTTAAGGTCAAGTGGATGCTCATGTTGCACACACTGGTGAAGTTCATACAGTTAGAAGTCAAGTGTCCTGGAATTCCAGGCCAAATGCCTGAATGATCGACGAGTTCGGTTGGTCTCGTAACCTGAAGATCCTCCCGAGTCCAATCCCCGGAGGGGTTGTGGGTGAGTTCAAAGCTGACGATTGAGGCCCTATGCTTCACTTGGTGGAATGCAAAGGTATGAAAGGTTGGGGTCTAGAACAAAGATTTCATTCAAGAAAATCTTCTTTGTGACGATTTCCTTGAATGAAATATAATAGACAATAAAAAAGAACACTTTAATTTTGAATGCATCCTTTCAAATTTCCCAAAAAAGTCCGTCAAAGTTTGCAAAAAGCGACATGAGTGCATCTGCTTTGCAAATGCTGAAGCTTTGGTAATAACATGAGATGATAAAGCCAGGATTCTATGAGCGACAACATTGTAGGCAATCTCTTCTCCGTCATCTAAAGATGGTGACAACCAGAGGTGTCCATCAGGAATGCTTACTCACTATCCCCGTTTCTGTTTACTTTCATCATGTATGTACTAATGGAATTGAACCTTAATGACTTCAGTCACCCAGGGATTGACTTATTACCAGGAAACAATCTCGTTGACTTATAATATACAGATAATACACTACTTCCTCCTAGGTGCAGACGCAGATAAAATGCCTAGTCTTCTGAACACCATGAGCAGCAAGCAGTCTTCGAATGTTCGGCATGCGATACGCTTCTCTTGTAATATGATTCTATAGGACTAACTCAATTATATCTATTCACTCCTAACTTAAAGATAGACAGAAGTGAAATGGTTAGTGGATAGCATTGAACAATTCACTTATTTGGGTGGGAAGTTACCTCAGCCAGAGTCGACGGGTTGATTGCTGACGAAACCTCAGCACGGATACAGAAGGCTCGTTTGTCATCTGCCAACACTATCTCTGGCTTAGTAGATGTGATATCCACCTGACTGGCTGTAGACCGAAGGATGTGTGTACTGCTCAGCATTTCGCTCACTCCTTCTTTATGGCTATGAAATAGGACTACTGAAAGTGAAAGACGCGAAAAGTCAGTTTAGCTAGCTGTCTTTGGTTACAGATGTCTCCTGTGTCAGGTGTTAAAACAGAGTGAGTAATATTGAGATTAAGCATCCGTCGAGTGCTACGTAGGTTGGAGGGACAGTCAATCGACGAGGTTGTGAAGTTGCATCGATTGAAAGAGATGGTTAGCACATGTGTTACGCATGCATCTCCCCTAGCCATCGATAGCCTTCCTCGACAACGGGCAGTCTTAACTAATTGACATAGGATCGACCAGGTTGTTGGGAGAGAGTTAGTGGTCAAACCAAAACATGGATTCATCAGTCAATGAAATCCATAAATAATAAGTTTAAACCAACCAACCAACCGGCAAGCCATGTAGGGAGGTGTAGCTGGCTATCTGGTTGGATTCCTCGGGATGTAAAGGAACCACTGAAATCTGGTGAAAATTATCGGTGATATGGCTCAAAATCCTCGTTCTCAATGGCTGACATAGATGCCATATTACTAAGTCCTCTTTTTCCCTCAATCATACTTCTCTTTATCATCTGTCTTGTGAACCCTCGTTTACTCTCTTCTCCGAGTTTGAGTGGTATATGGGGTGTGGCACATCTGTGTTAATTTCTATGTTTAAACCAATAAGTCAATCAATCCATCTCAGTTGCCATATAACTAGTGCTAATATGGGATTCACCAAAACCCCATTTATAATTCATTATTCCGTCTTATTTCATTTCTTTTGTCTTATTTTACCTTACTTTATCACAGTCTCACATTCCGTCATATTGACACATGGTTAGCTCACTCATCTTATATATGCTATTACATTTGACCTGATAAATTCACATATTCACATTTTAACTTAAGAAGATACTTTAATCTGTCTGTCTATAAAAGGCATCACAGCATGAATCAATTTACTCATGTGTATTGTACTTTAGGGTGACTCAGCTTAATATATACATGCATATATATCACGAGTTAATAACTCGTAATCATCTAAATCAATATAATCACACTTTAGTATAATTTTAACTTGACTGATAGAATTCAAATTCAGTCATCACCGATACTGAGAACGGGATAGACATGACATTATTTACTCCAGAATAGCCAACTGATCGATCATTGTCTCTGTCACAGTCCTACAGGAGGTCAGTCGTCAGACCGAGCAGCTAAGTGGTAATGTCTTCAACTGGGTGTGAATCCCACCCCAGAAGAGACTCAAAACTGACGAGTGGCAACAAACACTAGGCTTCTTGTGGATTGCTAGCCACTATTCCACAGACTCTTCATGTCCCAGAGGCTATAGGCCACACTTACTATTCTCTGCAGGCTGATCATACTACCCAATTACCAAGAGTGAAGCAGATGTAGTGGGACTCGAACCCAAACCTATTCCTTGAAAATCGAGTACGCTTAAGAAGCCAGCCAGGAAGTTACATGTCTCCACTCAGTATCTTTCCTACACGGTCTAGGATACCACCTTACGGAATGTATTGTTAATATTATTATTCCCTTGGATTACGAGTGGGACAAAAGGCGTCAACAACATAGTCCGCATTTCATCCCTATTCCACGCTTGAGTATAACTTTGCGCTTACTCCTCACTCTCAAGACCACTACTCGCCGTTTCTCACAATGTGTGTGCGTCTCATCTATCTCCGATTCCTTCGATAACAGGTTCTTGATTGGTCCGCTGGCAGCCAAACTGTTCCTTGTGTTGCTTATCCTCTCCTGTCAGCCATTTGATCTTCAGTATGGAGCCAGTGAAGGCATGTGTGTTGATAACAGACTGTCGGATAGGCTAACATCAATTGTCATAAAGCCGTTAGACGGGAAAAGAAAAATGATTGGTTACAGGATTTCACCACGAGTTGACATCGGTTAGAGAATCATTGGAAAACTATTTTGGGGATACTGGACAGATGTCTCGTCAGCTTAGTTTGGGACTCTTCAACAGCACGTACCCACCACCACAAGGTTTACAACCCGGGACCTTCCTTTTACAAGATTAGTGGGCTCGTAGACCATTAAGTCACTGGGGCCCGATTGAGTCAGTCAGTGTGCCTATGGAAATGAAAAAACATCAACTTATTAGTCGAGTGATGCTGGTAGGCAAGCTGAATTTCCCCACGCTACGACAGATGCAAACAAACGAACTGATGCAACTGTTTTGCCTTTGAATTGAAAATTAAATCAAGCACATATACATAAGCGCACATACAAGCACACGCACACGCAGTGCAATATGTTGCTCAATACACAACCGACACACACACACACACAAACGAAAATCGATACATCGCATCGATTTTAATTAAGTAGCAGCGAAATCAAATTTTTCAAAAAAAAAGTTGACTCTCAACAACACTTTTATGAAAAAATATGCAATTGCACACAAGTTATTGTAGTGCAAACACTTTGATTAACTGGATTGATTACAAAGACATAGAGATTGTTAAAGTATACACATACATACATACACTCATCTATGATAAATTTACTCTGAAAATCAAATGCACAATTAAGTTGTAATTGTGATTTGTAGGCATTAGTGAAATGAGTTCAAACAACAAAAAAATCGAGAACTTGAATGCCATCAAGCTACTGAAAGCCAGTTGGGAAGGCAGTGGAATCAGGTGGAATTTCTTCTGAAGCACTGAAAACGGATCCAAAGACTGTAGAGGATATGCTGACGCCATTATTTTAGAAGTTTGGAAGGAAGGAAGGAAAGGTAGCTAGTTATTGGAAGAAAGGCTAACATATCAAACTATCAAAGAAGGGTGATTTAGGCTTCCGCAAGAACTGGAATGGAGTAATAAATTATTCTCCACGCCAAGTCAAATAATAAGTCACGTCATTCTGGAAATAATAAAAGATGCACTGGGTGCAGAACACCGCCACCGAGAATGTGTTGGATTCAGGGTTAAATTGTAACTCTATGCATCATCATCGAACAGAACATAGAATGGCAGTCAAACCTCCATCTCAACTTCATCGACCAATCTGAAAAGGCCTTCGACAGAGTTGACTGAGAAATAATTTCGAAACTACTTTGAATTTATGGAGTGCGGTACCCCCAAATCTTTATCAGCCATATGGCAATGCCGCGTGTCAGGAGACCCACGGCGGAAAACTCAGCGAAGCCTACCTTTGAAGTAAATACCGGAGGAAGACAACCTGACTGTCTATTATCACCGAAGATATTCCTAGTTATGGTGGACTGGAATATGCGCCAGACTGTGCATGGGAGCAAGGAGATAGGAATAAGCTGGATCGACAAGAAGACTTTACAAGATCTGGACTTCACGAATGATTTATGTTATATGTCACACACAAACTCCAAGACTTGCAGGCGTAAACCAACAAACTGGCGGCAACGACTGGCAGCGAAGACAGGACTCCAGGTGAACATAGAGAAGACGGAGGCGATGAAGATGCAACCAACCAACCAACAGCGGCAACAACAAACAGCACCAATCACCATCAACAAAACGAATTTGAAAGAGATTACTTCCTTCACTTATCTAGGCGGCCAGCATCGTTTCAACCTAGGCAGTTGGAAAGGATGAAAATGTCATAGCAGGCCAGAATCGCAAAAGCACATCAGACCTCCATCATTCTGAAATCAGTATGGAAATCTTCTGCACTAACTCAGCGTAAACAACAAGATTCGAATCTTCAACACCGATGTCAACTCAGTCAATTCTTCTATTTAGGTCAGGAACTTGCACTTGCGTGACGACGAAGAACAGTTCCAACTGCCAGCTGCAAACCTTTATCAACAACTACCCACTTTTCTGGCTCCATATTGAAAAACAAATGCCTAGCAAGAAAGCATTAGCAACAAGAAACTAGGGGAACAAACTAAACAAGAATCTATTGCTCAAAAAGTATGTAGAAGAAAGTGGAGATGGATTAGGTACACACTAAGGAGACATCGCTCACTCGGGTGAAACCTTAATGAAAAACCTCGAGTGGGGCCTGTGAAGAGGAGACTTTTGACTCTCTGTATCTAGTTGAAAACTGTTAATACGAATGCCTATAGCTTCTAGATGTCTAGACACCATATAAACCCAACACTCGTAACCATATGTGTGTAGTTGGTTATTAAGCAAAGTAGCTTGGCCCACACTTAAATGAACGCTGAAGAAAATGGAAATGAGTTGGATACACGTTGAGGAAACAGTTGGGCGATGTCACACGGCAGACCATTACTCGAGTAGAACCCAATCGGGAAATAACGAGTTGGGCGTCACTTCGAGGGTGACGTGGAGGAGATCATGTGAGCAGGAGGAGATGAGAAACTATTGGTAATCTTGGGGCTAGCAAGAGAGAACTGCAGATCATAGGATGAAGTGACGATATGCTGTCGAAGCTCTATGTTCCAATAGGAACCCAAAGGAATAATAATTAACAATAACCGAACAGAAACAGTTAGAGATGTGGTGGTTGAGTACGATGGCGCACCATTGATCTCCATGCATAAATAATCTAGTTATTTGAATTAATTTAGTCAATGTGTTGAGTAGCGTCCATTCTTCATTTATCTAAAAATATCACACAGTCTGTTCGGTCACCAAGAAATTTGCTATACAAAATAATCAAATGGTAATATAACGCGAAACAGTTGAGAAACAACATTATGAGACAGGTAAGCAAGCATACTGTTCAAGTGAATACAATGGAGCATTCATTACTTTAAATTTTACTTCTACGCCTTGATCGCTTGGATCTCACACAGCTAAGGAGGTGGTCACGGTGACCTACGCCAACTTCCCAATTATTATTCATCTTACAACGCTACTTCAAGAGGTGATCATCATCATCAGGGGTCTTTCCATCCAGTTCAAGACTAATAAACAAACAAAGCTGCAGAAATGACATTTGCAACTGCTATCCACCCAACCAATAGGACAATATCGTATGACGACGTCATATCCGTGGTAAAAACGATGTCTACCCGATCCCAACATACCATGTTGGACATATTGCTATGGAAACAGATGAGACAACATAGTGGCAAGCAAATAATCAGTACAGAGAGGCTTCGTGTATCGATGCGTTGTTCACCTGATGTTTAACACCCAAGAGCTCCCCATATCGGCTTAGGCTGTAATTTAGGATGAATGCTTTGCTTATCTAGGTGTGTGGAGTACTTTTGCAACACTGGCAAGTGCCTGTGTATTTGCAGTGACCCTAGAAAGTAAACACGCTCTAAGTAGACAATAAGTTCGTGTATCTAGATAGTTTATGTGAATGCTGGAGAGTGTATGACGCATAAGATCTCCACTTGTAGAGTAAAAGCCATGGGACTGTATATTCCAACTTGGGCCACCAGCTCTGTAGTCACTAGCGATATGGCCCTTCAACCAAAACAAAAACTACGTTTCATTCAGAACTGTACACATATATTGGATGAACGCATTGTCTGATTAGTGAGCAGTGATTCATTGGTTTTAGGGCACTCAGTCTTCAAAAAAACTTGGTGATTGTTCTAGGGTCAAAACACCGCTTCAGATAACCTCGTTCCCCAATAGCCAGCTATTATCGCCGACCTTCGCATACAATATTGCTAACTATAAGACAGTGAGATATAGAGGGCTACAAGCTAGAGAGAGCTTTGAACTTTCCGTAGCAGTGATGTTTATTTTTACGGGATGGATGGGGTTGCTAGCCAATCGCGATGCGCAACCTAACCTCCTCGTTACCGCTCTTACTATCGGCTTAGCGAAGTAGAGGAGTGCGTTGTCTGTCTGTTTCCGACATAGAACTTTACACCGATGTGCACCAGTTCAAGTCGCCACACTCCCTCCTTGTACCACACAAAGCAACAGATGAAAGTACAACAAATGCATAATAGAGACAGTAAACAGAGGTGTGAGACAAAGGAATAGTAGTAACGAAGAACATTGTAGTTTCATTGGAAATCATAAGTCACAAGGAGTGGATGCATCTGCACTAGCCATTGACAACGAGGATTTTGAGCCATATCACCAATTGTTTCCAACCATTGGTTTTTACCGTCCCGAGGACCCCAACCAGCCAGTCAGGAAGTCTACACCTCCGTACGTGACTCAAACTAACTGTTGTGGATTTCATTGACTGATAAATCCATGTTTTGGTTTGACCGCCGTTAGCTCTTTTCCAGCCTGACCCTATGTCAGCTAACATTGCCCGTCAGTCGAGGAAGGCGATGGCTAGACTAAGCATACGTAACACATGTCCTAACCATCTCAGTCGATGTAATTTTACAGCCGCCCCTCCTTACCTAGGAGGGGAGGAGTGCATTGGCGGGGGACCAAACCCCGCACCACGTGTGTTGGAGTGGTTGGTAAGCATTCTACCGCTGTGCCACAGACGCACATAAGAAGTAATATATATGTATTTCATTTATTAATCGAGAACACACAATGACTGTTGTCAAAACACTTATCAAACATTTTCCAAAGTTGGATCACCGAACTGACAGCAGTTAGAGAACAACAAATGAACACCACCACACCAAAGAGTACTGGGAAATTGTTTCACTCTAGTTTAAAGCAATTCCGTGAACACAAAATAATACTGATAATTCACAGTATCACAATATCAAAGACAATGTGTCATTAACTCGGTGAGAGGAAAAATAAAACTAGAAAATACACACACACAGATACAATCACTTACTGGGTTCTTGAAGCTGTGATAAAACTGGTTTCATTGAACTTTTATTGTATAATGCTTCCACCACATTTTCCATATCATTATAATCACGATATTTTCTGTTAGTATTTCGTGGCTTCGGTTTTGGCCTATCTAACTGATGATCGTTATCTGCAATTTTATAGGCAGTAGTAGCGGAAACAGCTGACACCTTCAGATACATACAATGGGAGAATAAATAAACAGGTGTGAATTAGATAAATTATGGAGAGATTAAAAAAGCAAAAACGTCGGTTGTAAATATGTCACAGAAGTAAAAAATTCTAAAGTTAATGTGCCCCTTATGTCACACAATAGAGATGTACAACAACCCTAAGAATAAATATCGAAAACAAAACAAACAACGACAGATGACTCTTTCTGAAGAGAAGGCAGACATAAAACTAAATTAATTTAAAAATTTTCCTCTTGAATGAAGAAAGAATGAACATATTATATGGTTGGAGGCAATCAGCCACAGGAAGCCTCGCCTGACCTAGGTTTCCTGCCACTTGACACTCACTTAGTCAGCAAGGCGTATCTGCAACCTTGAAAGGAACAATTCATGTCCCTTCTGAGATTTGAACCCGCGCCTCACCAGCTAGTGCTGCAGTCAGAGACGTTACCACTGAGGAGCTATTCGGGCTCGCGATTGACCTTCTGTAGGACTGTAGTGGATTTTTTTTATTGGACACTAGTGACTAGTGTGATGCGTCTAGTCAGGAGGTCAATCGCGAGCCTGAATACCTCCTCAGTGGTAACGTCTCTGACTGCAGCACTAGCTGGTGAGGCGCGGGTTCGAATCTCAGAAGGGACATGAATTGTTCCTTTCAAGGTTGCAGATACGCCTTCCTGACTAGTGAGTGTTAAGTGGCAGGAAACCTAGGTCAGGCGAGGCTTCCTGTAGCCGATCGCCCCCAACCATCTACCTAGAATAGTGGCCACACTGCAAACCTGACTGATAGAATTCAGTCTGCTCCAAACAATAAGGACTAGACACATCACACTAGTTACTAGTGTCCCATCAAAGTAAAGCACGAATATATTTGAAGGATAATATGAGCACGTTTTATTTCGTGGATTCTATCTCTCTCTCTCTCTCTCTCTCTTCAACTGATTTACTTTACTTCGGTTATCTCCTACGGGAGGATGAGCCGGCTTCATGAACCATGAAGTTTCATGGGAATCGGGTACGAGTGATGTCCCCAGCATCACTCGGCCTTTGTTTGAGAGTGCAGCTCTAGCCTTTACACAACCAAGTGTGACCTACAATGCAGTAGGAGTGGAGGAGGGAGTCCACTATCCATTGGAAGCCGGTGACCGGAGTCCGGTTCATTCGCCTTTTTGAATGGGGCCAGTCATCCAGGGCATCCAATAAGCCCTTTGTCCATACGTCTGCCGGTGAGCTCCGGTGAGCTTCATACGCCAGTCGTTGGGGGTTTGGAATCAGGGTTTAGCCATCTGCCCTAGACTGTCATCCAATAAACAGTCAACCCGGTGAAGAGCGCCGGGCATCCGTCGTACATCCTAAATAAATCAACCAACTTCCAACTGAAAATACTTTTTACAATGATTCCAGATTATAGATAAAAACTATGGTGAATCCAAAGTCCACAAACCTGATGCTGCCATTGAGACCTATAATGTCAGTGGTGAAATCACTATGCCATAAACTAGTTAGGTGTTTAGGACAAAAGTTAGAATCAATGCGACAAAAGTTGGCGGCAGTCCACAGTATCAAGGTTTCCTTTCAATTCTGACAAGAATCAAACCAACTGAATATGTTTCAGACAAACATCTTGCATCATATGATGTTTGTTCGCTGTTTACTAACACACGCATGAAGAAACTGTGAGAATCATAATGCCAGTAATCCGAACTACTTCTTCTTCTTCTTGTGAAAAGGAGCTATGAAAATTACTACTGCTTTGTACAAAACAACGTCCAGTTCCGATTCAACAAGCAGCCATACCAGCAAACTGATGGGGTGGCTATGGGTTCACCTTTGGGTCCTGTTCTTGCGGACATATTCATGACTCATCTTCAACAGAAACGAATAAAACCGGAAATAGAGAGAGAACCACCACCTATGCTAACGACACGTTTGTGGTTTGCAACAATATGGATCACGCATCCACGATGTTCAAAAACACCTCAATGCACCTCACCCTCACAGAGCATTTACAACGAACTATGAACGTGATAATCAGTTTCACCTTCTAGATCTCAACGTAAAAAGAAGAAATCATGGGACAATTGAAAAATCCATATACAGGCCACAAACTTGGACTGGCCAATGCTTGAATTATCACAATCACCGCCCGATCGGATACAAACGGAACCTGGTGACAACGTTCCTCATCAGAGCAAAGTCACCATCGAAAAGAAACTCATCGAAAATGGATACCCTGAGGAGTTCATATCAAAATATGGGAAGGAAAAACCACCTAGGTCGAAGCCCGATATAGCTGAAAAGAAACCAGTTCTTATTTGCCTAACGTACAAAGGCGAAGAAGTACCCGTAAGAATGGAAAACCAAATTAAAGCTGCATTCCACAGAACATTTCCTGCCGCTAGAGTCATTCCTCTTTACAACGCAGTATGCTCGTTAACCCAGTCAAACTGCATTTACCAATTCACCTGCAATTGAGGCAGCAAGTACACATAGCAAGGACTGAGAGGAGAGTGTCTACTAGACTCTCTGAGCATATCCCTAAAAGTCTCCGTTTGAAAAGCAGAAAAGTGTTCTCAAGTGCAATCGCCTGACACCAAATTGACTAACACCGGACACATTGGAAATTAGTCAAGCTCTCATAATAATTATTACACAAAGAAAACCATGGTTACTTCGGTCGGCAGAAGGCATTGTCACCAAAAGACTTTGACCCAACCTATGCATACAGAAAGATAGTGTAACTAATCTCTCACTACCTTGGTAACCATAACTGTTTTTTGTCCGTGTACTTCTGTTTTTTGTTCTGTCGCATAATATTCCACTCGATCTTGATTTTGATTTTCACTTACTGACTGACTGACTGAGTTGAACTCACTATTGTTTCAAAATCTAAATTAAATTAGTTTATCTATTTTATAATTTTACTTTACCGTTCATCCCCATCCACTTGAACTCTTCATCAAAATATCTGTAAATTCACTTTGTGGTTCTATCTTGTAATTTGTCTCTAGTCCAGTCCTGTTTTCAGGAGAAATCTGAACTTTAGCCAATTGCCCGATTATTATGTAAATACCTAATCTTTTAACCACGTCTGTCTGTCTGTCTGTTTTCGACATAGAACTTTACACCGATGTGCACCAGTTCAAGTCGCCACACTCCCTCCTTGTACCACATAAAGCAACAGAAGAAAGTACAACAAATGCATATTAGAGACAGTAAACAAAGGTGTGAGACAAAGGAATAGTAGTAACGAAGAACAATGTAGTTTCATTGGAAACCATAAGTCACAAGAAGTGGATGCATCTGCACCAGCCATTGACAACGAGGATTTTGAGCCATATCACCAATTGTTTCCAACTATTGGTTTTTACCGTCCCGAGGACCCCAACCAGCCAGTCAGGAAGTCTACACCTTCCTACGTGACTCAAACTAACTGTTGTGGATTTCATTGACTGATAAATCCATGTTTTGGTTTGACCACCACTACCTCTTTTCCAGCCTGACCCTATGTCAGCTAACATTGCCCGTCAGTCGAGGAAGGCGATGGTTAGACTAAGCATGCGTAACACATGTCCTAACCATTCAGTCTGTGTAACTTCACAACCTCGTCGATTGATTTCCCCTTACACCTACCTAGCACTCAACCGAAACCTAACCTCAATATTGCTCACCTTATTATACCACTTCACACAGGAAATAGAACGCAGGCACCTATGATCAAACACAGCTAATCTTTCCATGTCTTCCACTCTCAATGGCCAGGTCTCACAGCCAGCCATAAAGGAGGACAGAACGGACTGATGAGCTGTACACCCGGCCTGTGGTCGATAGTCGGATATCACGTCTGGGCCAGAGATGGCGTAAACTGGCATATGCGAAACTAGCCCTCTGTATCCATGCTAAGATTTCACCAGCAATCAACCGTTCGGTCTGATGTAACTTCTCAAATAAGTGAAGCGGTCAACGTGCTCTACCACTTCACTTCCTATTTCTGATCTAGGAATCGGTGTAGTCCAGTCCTGTAACATCATCTTGCATTTGGCGGGAGCGAATCGCATGCCGAACAATCGTAAATTGCAGCTCATGTCTACTTACATCATCCTTGGAATTACGTAGTGGCTTATACTTTCTATCTGTAGGTCAAAGTCATTGTAAAAAGCATTTCCAGACACCAATTTGCAGCTTATAATTTTATTTTATTTAAGATGTAGGCAGCTGAAGAGAATCGATGAAATTTAAACCAGCTCGTACTATCCTGACTGCAAATATGTTCGTTCTCTCTTTATGAAAACTAATAAAGGGAACCGGCTGAAAGTAATTTAGAAATGATGGAGAAGATTTGCACCTTAGGTAGATGATATTAGTGCAGTTGTGAAGTGATGATGTCTAGGAAGACGGTGAAACGTTGACAACACAACTTCACCAATACTATTTCAATTTATTTAGTAATAACCCTTATATCAGCTTCCTAATTATAAGAGTACATCATTCAGGTAGGTAGTTACCTGGGTTCTTGTGAGAAGTCATGACCAGTGGGGTCTACCATCAGATCTGGAGTGAAGAAAAATACTCGCCAGTGATGACATTCGTTAGTGCCAGTCACGCTATATCGTGAGTTGGCAGAAGTTAGAATTTGTAGGCCGGTTTTTGGATCAGGTCCCATTGTCCTAATGGTCTACGAGCTCAGTAGCCGTGTAACCGGAAAGTACTGTGTTCGAACCCCTGCGGTGGGTGCGTACTGATGAGGAATCCCAGACTAGGGCAAAACAGCTGGTTTCCCGATGGTTCCCCAACCGATGTCAACTCATGGTGAAGTCCAATAAACGAGCATATGATCAAACGTTACAATCAGCTAAGTTTGAGAAACACTGACAAACTTTACGCTGTAAAATAACAAAAGTTCTCCTAATAAACGCATCTGGAGTGTGGAATCGTGCTTTGTTGGTGATGAAGGACAAATTTTTGTTTTTGATCATAGCTTGATTCTACACAGTACTTTTAGTACAAGTATGGAATTTTCAGCAATGTCGTATCGGTAGCCCAAACTTTGCAGGCCGACCATTGATATCAGGTGTGTGTCGGCAGGGGATCGAACCTCGGACCATGTGCATGGTCGGCGAGAGTCCTAGCCACTGTGCCACCGACGCAAGCCGTGTACGCCGGGGCTAAATTAAAACTAAGTTTAGTGAATGTCATTACCTGAACTCGTCTTACTAATATTATCATCGTCATTATTATTATTATTATTATTATCATGATTACTCACTTTTCAGTATCGAGTGACGTAACTGAACTGTATTCCAACATATTCTTAATATTCAATCTAGCATACCCTTGCACCACCACCAATCGATTTAGACTTGACCCGTAAAACATTTTAACCTTTTGCTACGTTTTTTTTCCTATACTTATGTGGTTTATTAATTAGTCATATATCTCCTAATGTTTACTTTTCAGTATATGCATGTATAAACTGTGTGTGGAGTATTGAGCCGAATTCTACAGAAATTTACTAACAATATTTGTTATTTGTTCTTTTTAAGTTTTTAAACAGGGAAATAAACGTTGCCCAAAACAAACATTCCCTTAGATATGTGGTGAACTTCATACTAAACAACCCCGCCTAGTTTACTAGCTCGCTAGTCTCCTAGCCAGTCCCAAACACCTAGGAAAACAGGGAGGGTTGAGCGTGCTGCTAGCGACCCTACCTGAGAAAACGAATCAAACTGCTACAGAAACTTCAACGCACAAGAAAAACATTAAGAATGAAAAACTTATTCTTCGCTGGAATCGGAGTGGTGAAATGACACAGTGGATTGGTGAAAGCCTCTAGGAAGCCAGTCACCCGATGTATCTTCTTCTTCCGATGACAGCAAAAACAAGAATGACGACGTGGAATGTTCGTACAATGTACACGAGACTGGCTGGGAAGACTGCCCAGGTAGCCAAAGAAATGAGAAGATATGGTGTAGAAGTGCTCGGAATCTGTGAGAACAGGCGGAATAACGGATGTGAACTAGCCAAGTCGTCAACTGGTGAATCAGTTATCTACCCTAGTCACTAAAACAACCACGAACACACTGAGGCAGGGAGTGGCTATCATGATGTCACTAACAGCAGCTAAAGTTCTAATGCAATCGGAACTAAATTGGGCATGCGCTGAGGAGGCCGTCGAATGAAATCGCGTGCAGTGCAGGCCAGTGCTCAAGTGGAATCCCAGTGGGGAACGACGAGTGAGTCGTCCGAAGGTGACATGGAGGAGATGGGAGATTATGGGCAATCTTGAACCCATCTGAGGACGGCAGTAGAAAACAGAGCAAAGTGGAGACATGTTGTTGAAGCCCTATGTCCCACTCGGAACCCAAAGGAATAATTTTAATAATACTAAACGGCACTGCCAGTCATAACCATCAGATAAGGCACAGCGGACTGACCGTATAAATAGCGTACTTTGAATTGCTTACAACGCTTCTATAGTATTCATATATAACTGTCTGTCTGTCTGTTTTCGACATAGAACTCTGCACAAATGTGCGGAAGTTCAAGTCGCCACATTCCGTGTAGCACGCGAAGCAAGAGAAGAAAGTACAAGAAAAGCATAATAGAAACAATGAGCAGAGGTGTGAGACAAAGGAGTAATAAAGAAAAACAAAACAGTTTCATTGGAGATCATAAGTCACAAGGAGTGGATGCATCTGCGCTAGCCACTGAGAACGATTTTGAGCCATGTCACCATGTCATATATAACACTAACCACTTACACTTGAGTGAGGAGTACAGTAAACAGAAAGCAGTAATATATATATATATATATATATATATATATATATATATATATATATATATATATTGTTATTAACTGGTTGCAGGCAATCGGTAAGAAGCCTTGCCTGACCTAGGTTTGTGCTTGCCGGCACTCACCTGTCAGCAAAGCGTATCCGCAATCTTTAAGAAACTCATGTTGCTTCTGGGATTCAAAACCGTGTCTCATCCAGCTCTCTCTGTAGTCGGGGATGTTACCGCTGAACTATTCGGGTTCGCGATTGACCTCCTAAAAGAACTGTAATCGATTCCTTGTTTAAGCACTAGGTAGGGCAACAAATGTTATGCATCTAGCATTTCGTGTTTGTGCAGAATAAATTCTATAACATTCAAGAAAGCGTCGGTGGTATAGCGGTTAGGACGCTCGCCAACCATGCACATGGTGCGGGGTTCGATCCCCGACCGGCGCACTCCTCTACCTCACTGAGCCAGAAATAATGCTGGTAAAGAGGAAAGGTTGGGCATGAGGCTAGCAACCTCATCCTGTAAAACTAAAAATGAACACTGATACAGAAACTTCAAGCCACTAGCTTGAGGCCCTATGTTCCACTGGGAACGTGAAGGAAAAATTATTATTATTAATTATTCAAGAAAGGGACATAAGTTCCTTCAAAATTACCGAGGAGTGCCAACAGGTACAAAATTCAGGTGTCCATGGTTTTCTTCCGATAGCCTCGAACGACCTCACAAGGTAGGACACCCTGCCTTACCTAAGTGTCATGCATGTTGACACTTGTCCACAGGAAGCTTCTTAGATTCAGACTCACATCACTAATCAGTGCTACAGTCAGAGACGACGTTAATGGCGCAGATGTATTCAATCTCTATAATCTTTCATATTCCTTTCTACCATTACCCATTCTGTTTCACTCCTATATTTATCAAACTCTATTAATTCTCTCCACTCATCTTCTTGTCTACCTCTGTGTGCTATTTGGAACGTGGCAACTCGAACTGCTGCACTTCGGTGCCAAGTTCTATGTTGAATCCAGACAGACAGACAGACGACGTTACACCCTGCGATTGACCACCTGTAGGTATGTATAGGGTACTATGACTTGACTTGTAAACTTGACTGATAGAATTGAATCTGCATCAAACAAAGGGCTAGACACATGACACCAACTAGTATCCCATCATATATATATATATATATATATATATATATATATGCGGTAAGAAAACAGTTAAGAAATATTTCAAAGCCTAAAACTCACAGAATCCGATGTCACTTTTCCTTGTTCTACAGCAACACCCCCACCACCATACCCTTCATCGGTAGTGCCACAGTCAGATGGAATATTTGTATCTTTCGACGAAATCCTCTCTACACCGTTAGCCATACTTGATAAAATTAATGCGTTAGAGTCTGGCAACTCATTGACCATAATTGCACCATTGTATTCTTTGTGGTTTTGTGCTGCTTTGTGTATCAAAGTTAGTTCAATACTTTGATCACTATAGAACAAATAATAAACAAATAAATATTTGAAGGAAGAAAATGTTAGCAAACTTAACAAACTTAAAAATCAGACAATAAATAAATAAATACTCAGAGTCATCAAAGCAAGAAGAATTAGTTAGGCAGTTTAAAACATTTTGTAAACTACGGTATTGCTGAGTGATACAACAAACATCAGAGCTACGGGGTAATCGATGAAGAATGGAGATGAAACGCCGGTGTTGCCAGTTAACGGCGTTTTCAAGCTCTTTCGTTGTAAATCAAGTTACAAGGGAATACAATGTGCCTTCTGACGATCTGTAGACACTATAATACTACATACAGACAGATATTTAGTGAATGGACGAACGGAAAAAGTTAGGCTTTTTCGTTTAATAGCTGTCATATGACCAGCAATACAGATATCTACATATGAGCCAAATAAATACAGTATCCAACGTTTAAGTATATTTGAGGTACAATATGGACAAGTCCCACTATTGGCTTTTGAAATTGACTGGCTCTGTTTGTGCTCTGAGGTTTCGTAGGTAAATAAATCAATAGTACCATTTTTGCTGAACAAATATGCCAAAGAAAATGGAGATGGATCGAAAACACGCTACTAAGGTGATTGTCCAACAATATTGCGCGCGCCAGACCATTGCTCGAGCGGAACCCAACTGCGAAAGAGTGAGTTGGGCGTCGGTCAGGGGGTGACATATAGAGGAGATAGTGTGAGCAGGAGATGAGAGATTCACTCGGAACCCAAGGGAATGATAATAACTAATACAATCCTTTTTCTCGTCTCGGGTGTAGACGTGCTATCCGGCTGGCTATCGACCAAAGGGCGTGTGTACTACTCAGAAGTCCGCTTCGTCCTGCTTTATGGTTGTAAGACATGGCGATTGGAAGTGGAAGACATGAAAAGGCCAGCTGTCTTTGACCATAGGTACCTGCGCACTATCTCTCCTATGAAGTGGTATAATAAGGTGAGGAAAATTGAAGTTAGGCGTCGAGTGTTATGTATGTGGGAGGGGGAATCAATAGACGAGCCTGTTAAGTTACGTCGACTGAGAGAGATTGTTAGGACACGTGTAACATATGCCTAGCCTGGACATCGCCTTCCTCGACAACCGGTAATGTTAGCTGATATAGGATGGATCAGGTTGTTGGAAAAGAGCTAGTTGTTGGTGGTCAAACCAAAACATGGATTTATCAGTTAATGAAATCCACAACAGTTAGTTTGAGTCACGTAGGAAGGTGTAGACTTCCTGAATGGTCCTCGGGATGGTAAAAACCAATGAAGGATGGAGACAACTGTTGATATGGCTCAAACTCATCGTTCTCAATGGCTGGGGCAGATGCATCCACTCCTTGTGACTTATAATATCCAATAAAAATATATGGTTCGTGGATATTACTATTCTTTTTGCTTCATATCTCTGTTTACTGTTTCCATTTTGCATTTCTTTTTACTTTCCTCTCTTACTTTGCATGCTAAGTGGAGTGTGGTGACTTGAACTGCTGCACATCCGTGCAAAGTTTTGTGTTGAAACCAGTTAGTCAGTCACATAAATACAAATTCTAGTTAGTTTTGAGTGTAAAAAATTGTAAATTTACTTTGAAAAATGCTATGAAAGTGACAGAACCTAAAGCCAGAATAAATCACGAGGTTACCACAAAACCTATAAAGCACCATTCTGACTTATTCTAAGCCTTATCAACTAGCTTCCAGCACTCGACTTCGACTGTATTACATACGCCGAGTAAACAGTTTAACATTTAACAGTTTAACCACAGACTAGGAATATTAGTTAATAAAGTCGCAAAATGGAGCTACTCTTCTTGGTGTGTAACCACACCTAACTTTCTTTGAACTTATTATCATATTTTACTTTATTTCATTGCTTTGGTTCCAAAAGGAACATGGAGCTTCATCAGCACGAGTTTTGAAGTTTCAGTAGATGTGGTGTGTTTTTCTTACGGGATGGGATTGCTAGCCTCACACGCCAAACCTTCCCTCTTTAACCAGTTTTACAACCGACTACTTGAGGTTGAAGAATAGGACAACCGGGACTCCAGTTTATTATTTGATGGTTGTAGGTAGTAGGCAAATGACACTGATTACTCCATATTGGCCAATCAACGTACAAAGAACGTTCAGATACACAGGTAGTAGGCATGCATCAGAAATTTTAGAAACCATATTTTATAGATAAATAAATCAATAATAAAATAATCAACTCTTCTATTTCGTCTTTCTTTATGACACTATTGGCAAAATTGATTAATACATGAAAAACACTAAATGAAATAATAAGGTATGAAAGTTTTCTTGACCACGTCAAATTGTACTCTGAAGATTCATCTTATGCGTGCATAAAAACGAAAGAAAACACTACTATCCTCTTAGGTTCCAAGTGGAACGTTGGAGACTTCACAGTAACACATCTCAACTTCTTCAACCTGCTTTCTGAAGTCTCTTTCAGTGTTGGCTTTACGACTGCAAATAAGTTTTCACTTCCTCCTCATACAATCTCCGCCATGTCGCCTCCAAAGCCTCCTGTGTGCACAACTAATCGTTTCCCATTCGGCTTCCACTTGAGGGACTGGTATGTCACAACGTTACACTCAACAATCTCCTCAGCGTATTCTCTTCCCCATTTTTGTTGGGTAGTGACTGTTAGTTGGTCAAAATGCACTGTTAGTCAGAGTTCCTCGTTGCTTATTCTTTCCAGACGGTTATCTGATCTTTATGATGAACAGCATGCAGAAATGCGATTGATGAAATAATGTATAACTCGGTAGTTGACTGTAAATAGTTGGAATCCTTAGTTTCACGCTTTATGCTGGTCAGTACTCATCCAACGAAGTTCACTTACAACTCGTGTTGTTTTCCTCGTTTAAAAGTCAGTGAATTATACTTAACTAATAATAAGGCTTTGAAAAAGCATTTAACCCCAATAGTAGACAGAGGTGCCATTATTTGAGATGTGGTTCGTCAGCTTAAGCACACGTGATTATCAGTCAATGGGTGGCGAGTTCTGATCCCCGTCAACCAAATTCAGCCTGCTATACTCATACTCTGCCATACTCATGTGGAGACTAGTGATTCTACCCAGTTTCTAACTAAGTTGAAGAAAGCGGGGTGGGATGCAAACCCAGGGTTGATTTGCTGAAAGCTGAGTGCTTGCTCAAGCCGATTACTTCAAATGTCTGTCAAAGTAGGATGCGAAGCCAAATGCTCTACAGACTAGGAGTAACGTGACTCAACTATGTGAGTAATATTAACATTGGATATGAGGAAGTACTATTTACTTTAAGTCCTATAGTATTTGACTGTTAGTTACTACACTTGCGATAATCGTTATCATGTGACAAACAGACTATTTAACAGGAACACAGATAATATTATTGTTGATGCAGTACAGAGAATAAGTCTGTGTTAGTTATACATATGTGCGCCGGTGGCAAAAAGATAGAATGCTCGCCGGCCATGCATATGGTCCGGAGTTCTATCCCCGGTCGACGCACTCCTTTACCTCGCTAAGCCAGTAATAAGATTGGTATAGAGAGAAGGTTGGGCATTAGGCTAGCAACCCCATCCTGTAAAAATAAACAACACTGCTACAGAAACTTCAAGCCTCTTGTTTGAGGCCCTATGTTCCACTGGGGATGTGGAGGAGTAAAAAAAGCTGTGCATATGTAAATTAACAGTGACAACATATTAAACTTTACACTGAAGTCGGTATGGAAAAACAGTGTACTAGTTATTCATAAAACATGCTATGAATAAAAAAGGTAATATACCTGCCACTTCGTAGAAAATTGGAGACTTCTAAGAAAGTCATAGACTTCACAGGTTTTTGATTTATAGCAATAATCTGATCGCCAGCTTTCAAACCGGATGCTTCTGCTGGGCTGCCACGAGCTACTCTACTTACAATTGCTGTCGATTCATATGGTTTACCTATTGAGAAAAGTAGTTAATTAAATGTAAATAAAAAATTAACAAAAGAGTAAAAACAACAAAGACGGGTTGTGACGTCGGTGGTTCAAAAGTAGAATGCTTGCCACCAGCTAAGCACATGGTCCAGATTCGATTCCCGGTCGACGCACACTCCTAAACCTCGTTTAGTCAGTAGTAGTACGACCGGTAAAGAGCGAAGGTTAGACCTAAGGCTAGCCATCCGCCATCCCATAAAAACAACACCACCGCTCCTGGAACCTCATAGCACAAGCATGATGCCCTCTACATTCCAAGACCAAACGCAAAGGAATGAGAAAAAGTGGAAGGTTGGAACAGCCCAATAGCTATGGGAATGCGGCCAAAAGAGAATAATACAGCTGACCTACCAAAAAAACACTACTGTGCATATTCCAACACATATCAAGAACTAATTCAAACAGTCGTTAACCCAAAACTCACAAAAATCTTTCCTTGTGTGATAGTATACTAAATTAACAACGCGTTGTGTAAATTCATTTAAGCTAATATAAATACCTCGTACACTACTATGAAAAGTTCAAGTACTGTCTAAGATTAATGCAGTAAATTCGAAAAAAGAGGTATATAGACACAAAATTCAACAAAATGTAAAAGTACTATCAAAGTTGTAGCAAAAACTATCTTATTCATCCAAACAAACCAGTTTTCAAATGAAAACACGCTTCACATCAGATTGGTATAATTTGTAACGAGAAAACTGCGTGGTTTTCAGAGTCAAGTACAAGAATATGAAAGTAGATATTTGTCAGAATTGGCCTGTTGATAGTTTGTCTGGGTTTACTCTCGATCGAGGACGTGCTCTATCATGTGATGTGCTTCATCTGCCGCGTGTTAGCTGCATTTGTGCCAGGTGTTCCCTTAGTGTTCTAACGTTGGTCTATATTTCTGAAAATATTGATCCTTTGCTCATGCTCATATGGTTCACCTACCCTCCAACATCCGGCATGGAGCTTGTGCGTCTACTGCCTAATGCGCACACTCGGGAAAACGGTCATCCAATCTTGCAGCCATAGTGTCTATCCCACTGGGCATTCCACCACTAGTTGCTACAAATGGCACAATAACTGTGATGACGACCAATCTTCCGTGATCTCCACTTCATAAAATTGAACAATAAATGAGCAGGACAATATGTTATCACTTTGTTTTGTTGGCTATTGGCAACTGCATACAACAAAATTTAGGTAGCTAAGTGGAATTCTCACATACCATTACCCTATCTAGTTACGTAATATTAATGGCCTGCATCTTCATGCTAAATAATCAGTGTTGCACTCAGTTGTGTCTCACATCATCACTGCCGTAGATGTAGCATCCGATTATTGATCAAGAGGCGTGAACACCACACAAGAGTTCACCTCGCCCTTTCCTAAAGCTGTGAATCATAGTCATTGAAAGTGGAAAACATGAAGGCACTATCCAACTCAGACCACAGATATTTGCATTCCACTTCCCGTGTTTAGTCACATATGGTGGGTAATATCGAGGTTATGCATAGTGTTAGGTGATGAGGAAGTGTAATCTGCATTGATTGAGAGGGTCAGAAATCATACCAAGCCTTCCTCGTCGAGTAATGTTAGCTGACATACGAAAAGGTGAGAAGAGTTACAGGTAGTCAAACTAAAATTTCACAACAATAGGTGAAGTCTCCGACTGTTGGTTTCTGCCAATCACATAAAGATGTGTAGTCTGCCTCGACAGGCTAACAACCAATGGCATAGAAATTGTTGGTGGTATGACTTAATATCCTTCCCGAGAGTGCAGATGCATTCACTCCTTGTGATCTCCCTGATTCATTAAATCATTATTATTTATGTGCGTATTCCTTCTCCAGTACATTTCCAGTCATTATACTTCTTTTGAATATTGACTTTTCCTATCTCAGCGTTTGTCACAAAGTCTGGTAACTAAAACTGTTGTACCTCTGCGCAAATTTCTACACTGTAAACTCAGAAGATCAACTCAGTAAGCAGTTGACAAGAACCAGCGGCATAAAGTAATACCAAAAAGATATGTGCTACAAAAATGACTTCCCATCAGTGTAATGGACAATGGGCTGAAACCTAAGGCCATAAAAGTGAGCTCAGCAGGTAAAATAAATGAAGAAGTACGCGCACACAGTTGATGCCAGCACTACAACAAAAAAACTTTACAGATTCACGAAGTCAGTCATGGAAGTTTTGAATAATCTAAGAAGCAATCTAAAGTGTTACTAGCTTGATGACGAATGTATGTATATATTGCCATGAAATAATGTTTACAGTCAAGATCCCCCTTCCAGAGACAATACGAAGAATTCGGTGGTGTGATTCCCACGGTCAAGATAAAAAGTACGAAATAGTAATTAGTTTCAAGATCACAAACAACCTCAATAGCGATACATTTTACCATTAACGAGGAAAGAGAAGGCATTGCGACATACTCGCCCCAAAAGTGATATAGAGAAGAAGAAATGAAGATAACACATCCGCAATTTTGAAGTCAGAAGACGCACAGTCCAATTTCTTTGAGTTTGAGAGTGATAAGGAGACATCCATAAGGAAAACAACGATCAAGAAGAAACAAAATAATGATTAAGAAGCCAGCATTCACAAAAAGCCACTATTAGGTCATCGCGTTCTTTGTTAGTTAAGAGACTAAGCAACATTCAGGTTATACATCAAGATGACCAGTAGAACAGAAGTTATTCATCCAACAAGAATTGAGACACAAACACACCCTTTAATAATTTTATCCAAAATTTTGTTAGAAGCTTAGCAGACAAGTTAGGACAACCAATACTTGTAGCATGGAAATGTGACAACTAAGAGAAGGAATACGAGAAATCCAACAGTAACACACAAGGGTTATTCACAGTAATGGCAGTGAGGTGCGTTGAACATCAAAAACTAACTCAGAAACAGTAATGTTTAGGGCCTACACTGCAAAATAATCCGATAGCGTGCAACGATCGATATACAGTACGTAGGCTGAAGTGGTAAACCAGAGTTCATCCGAGGAAATCGATATTGATATACGCTTTAATCTACAGAAGAGTTCAGCTACTATGCTGTGTGCAATCATACAGAACTGCACAACAGGAAAGGACACCATGAAAGTCCCTATACATAATCTAGAACCACGGATAAGATTTGTAACTGAAACACTATTAATCCAGTCATTGGCACCTAATTACTAAAGGGAAGAAACAGAAGAAGCCCTGAGATGTTCACTTTAAACTACTCTTAAACCGACCACCACTTACATCTCGACCAGAAATACCACCAACGGCCATAGAACTGTCAGTGAACATCAATTCTTCAACATCAACAGAATTCTGGAATGACGTAAAATTACCGAAAGTTTGGAAAGCGGCATGTTCAGGTGGAGTTTCCCTAGAAACACTGAAAACGAATCCAGAGACCACAGTGAATATCTTCACACTAATATTACAAGAAAAGTGCAAGGAGAAATACCTCCCAATTGGAAGAAGAGCTACCTTTTCAAACTACCAAAGAAGGATGACTTAAGCCTTTGCATCAACTAGCGTGGAACCACGCTGTTGTCATCCCCAAGCAAAATACGAGACTACATCATATTTGAGAGACTTACAGATACTCTGGATGCAAAACACCGACCGGAAGAAGCTGGCTGGATTCAGCAAAGACAAACCATTTTCCGACTAGACAGCAATGCGGAGCATCATCGTCGAACAAAACACAGAGTGGTCGTCAAATCTCTACCCCAACTTCATCGACTTTGAAAAGGCCTTCAACATCGTTAACCGATGTGATTTGGAAATTGCTTTAACACTGTGGAGTGCCCCAAACCTTTATCAACCTTACTCAACAGCTGTATGACAATGCCCAATGTCAAGTGATCAACAACGGAAGACCCGGTGACACCCTTGAAATGAAGATAGGAGTGAGACAAGGCTGCTTACGATCACTGATGATATTCCTGATTGTGGTGGACTGAGTCATCCGCCAGGTAATGGAGAGCAAGGAGAGAAGAATACGTTGGACTGACAGAAAGACCGTATAAGATTTTTACTTAGTGAAATATGTATGTCTAACGTCACACAAACTCGAGTATGTAAAGGCGAAAACCAACAGGCTGGCAGAAGAGGAGGTTAAGACAAGATCCCAGGCAAATACACAGAAGACGACGAAGACACTGGACCAATAACAAGCACTAATCACCATTTCTAAAAGAAATCTAGAAGTCGAAAGGTACAGATGAGAATGTCAAAGGCAAAATCGGAAAAGCAAGACGGACTGTCGTTAGATTGAAATCAGCGTGGAAATCTGCTGCATTCAGCATAAAACCTGAATTTCGCAACACTTATGCCAAGTCAGAGGCTTAGCACACACCAGACAGCATTTCCTACAAACTGTGAACTTTCATCAGCACCTGTGTCCACCCGATAATGAGGACCAGGCGGTCTCCAGGGCAGGATAGGCAATAAAAAAATACGGCAACGTACCAGTCAAGAACATACTGCACGAATATGCAGAGGGAAATGGATATAGGTTGGTCATACCCACATCTCAGCCCCCCGAGTCTAACGTCAATGGGAAACGACTAAATGGGTCTCCGACGGTGACATGGAAATGGTTTGAGGAGGCAGTGAAAGCTTTTGGACAGTCTCGAAGCCTCAGTTGTTCGTTCCGTCCTCCTTTATGAAAAGGTTAACTGTCTTTGATCATATATGTCTGAGTTCTATCTCCAATGTTAGTTGACGTGGTATAATAGAATGAGTAATAATGAGGTTGGGCGTCCAGTGCTAGCTGGGTGGGAGGGAAAATCAATCGGCAGGGTTGTGAAGTTACATAGATTGAGAGAGGGTTAGGACATGTGTTACGTATTTCTGGCAATCGCCCTCCTCAACAGCAAATGTTAGCTGACATAGGATCGATCAGGTTGTTGGGAAAGAGCTAGTGGTTGGTGGTCACACTAAAACATGGATTCATCAGTCAGTGAAATCCACAACAGTTAGTTTGAGCCAAGTAGGGAGATGTAGAATTCCTGAATGGCTGGTTGTCGTCCTCGGGATGGTAAAAACCAATGAAGGCTGGAGACAATTATCGGTTATATGGCGCAAAACTGTTCTCAATGGCTGACAGAGATGCATTCACCCTTTGTGATTTATAATATCCTATAAACTTCTGTTATTCTCCCCTATTACTATTCTGTTTGCCTCCTATTTCTGTTTATCTCTCTTCTGAATATCTCTTTATTCTCTTCTCTTACTTTGTGTGTTACATGGTGTGGCAACTCGAACTGCTGCATATCTGTGCACAGTTGTACGTTTAAACGACTCAGTCGGTCTCAAAGCCAGTTGTAAATGACAGCAAAGAACAGAATGAAAAGTTGATGTTCTACTGGAGTCTTTTGTTCCACTCAAGAAGCAAAGAACGAATAATAATTACTGAATCTAGGATCTCTTGAATGTCACCTCCCTACCAGATATCATCAAGTCACTAATATAATCATAACTTTCATTATGGTGATTTGCACGCCTAACTTATTGTGAGAAACCGAAAAGTTCATGGCAACAATCATTCTTCGCATAATCCTATTTATAACGTTTTAATGTGTAAGCAAAGACCAAATAACACCCAACTAAAGTAGACTATATCCACACTGACAGCACTAGCCACTCCAGCCCTAAATAGTCAACACGTAGAAATTATCGTGACTGCATTTCTTGTACCCTTTAAGTCACATACACTCATGGCCTAGGATATCAGGACATTTAGCGCACACACTGAGTTTTAATACATGAGTTGGAGTGTACATTTATTCTACGATATTGAACCGTCATCGCATCTTACAGAGTCCAAGACCGAAGTTAATATGGCTTTAATGGCAAAGATATGAGGAAATTCCGAAAACAACTAACGTTTAAGGATTATAATCAAAAGGGACAAGCCATGGCATACAATGAACTGAAATACATAATGGCCGATCGGGTTAGACAAGCGCCAACAAAGGGCCGGAAACACCAACTACTGAAATGATGAGCAGCTAATGAAAATAAGGATGTCAAATATAATAACACAAGTGAAGCATGGCAGTAAATTTACGAGGACAATGACATAATTCACACACTTCTTAAAACAACCACGTTCTTCCTCAAGCTGTAAATAATAATCAGGCAAGCAGGCAAGGCACTGCGTTTTATTAGACAAACGTTGCGATATTAATAGCACCTACATATACTTTGGTGAACTAATAAGAAGCGTTAGAAAATCGACAATCCCACAAATCCTACTTATGATTCTCACGTGCGACAGTTGATGCTCTAAACTTTTAGTTTGAGTCACATATCCAACTCCTACATCATTTATTTTCGCCCAAATAACCAGAGTGTCATTTACAAAAATATGACTTACTACCCGGTACATAAAGACTCCAAAACAAACGATGCTATAACAGTATGTACATAAAAATTAGGCGTAAGGGTAGTGCATTTAACGACCAGTGATGAAATAAAGTTTCATGATACAATCATTCTTCTCACAAAACAATATCCTACAAACAATCGTCCGCTGTTTTTTCAGTTTTCCAACCCAAAATACAGGACTTATATTTAATTCAGAAATGTCAACAAGTAAAATCAATTATGACCATTGGAAGTTCAATCGTACGGTTACGTAACCTCTGTAAAACAACATGAAGTAAGTTATTTTCGTCAACATGTTTGCATAAACAGGACTTCGAACAACAAACTACCGAAACCACTCAGTTTCAACTAACATCATTGTGAAGGTCATTCAAGTAGTGAGTTTGGAAACGTTTTGTAGTACTGTAATACACTCACCTTCGTCTCTTAGGGTAAATCCGACTCCAAATGCGGTTTTACTAATCGTAACAGATACCGGTATATCCATTGTGTTAAAATCGCCTCACTTTGACATTATGATTGATTAGATTTGCCTTCAAAATCCTTTGAGTTTAAGACATACACCCGTCATGTGTAAAGTTAGCGCCAAACATACAAACTAAAGGACCCGCTTCATGCAGCCTCTTTCTGTTTACATGTGGTTAGCACAACTTTCAATGTTCTGAAGCGAAAATGACACGTAAGACACCTAATATACTATTAATAAACTTAGAAGGATTATATTCGAATACTAAGAGGTGACTCTAGACTATAGCAGCCCAAAACGAAACTATCTTCAGCGACCAATCATATGAGTAAGAATTTGAAGTGAGGAATTTGAAATAAACGTCTATATACAAGTAAAGAACTGTCAAAAAGTGGTTTCATAGGATAGCATCCCTGTATATGTTCCAAGGATACCTCCCGGTTTCTCAGAAGAGTCCTCATAGTTGAGTAAAACCAAACTCGGTACATAAATTTGTCAAGGTCATCAATCCAGATTCAGATTTATTGGTTGAGGATAGAAGGCTTGGAGCCTATTTTAATCCTTTTCTAGTAAATTTCTGTGGTTTTCCTTCTTAAACGAATCAGTTGAGGCTGCAGACAACACTTCTTTTGGGAGTCGGTTCCAGGAGTTTATGACTCGGTGTGAGAACCAGTACTCAACAGCACTATGGCTTCTTCTTGGCTTATGAACTCCCCTGCTGTGTCTTCTAAGGTGTTCCGACCTGTTGGGAAGGAAGAAAGGGAATAGGTCAGGTCCGTAGTCATTATTTAAAATTTTGGAGATTGGGATTAAATATCCTCTCTGCCTACGGTATGACAGGGGGAAGAGATTTAAACTGTCTAGTCTTTCCTCGTATGATAACTTAGTCATGCCGAGAACCATACATGTTGCCTTCCTTTGGTCCCTTTCTAGAATGTGTGGGTCCCCTTTTAGACAAGGACTGGCTTCCTGGATACAGTTTTCCAGTCTTTACCTCACCAGAGATGTATATAAGGAGGTGAACACATCTCTGGTGGTTCTAGTAAAGGCTCTGCGAATTGCCCATAAGGACCTGAAACTACGTGCAGCCGCCACGCGACAGTGTGCTGTAGTTTTTAAGTCGTGGCTAATTTTGACACCCAAGTCTAAATAAGTCTAAACTGATGGAAGTGTTATTTCCTCCAGTTCGTACGAGCTGATGCTTGCGTGTCCTATGCGCATGGTTGCACATTATGCTACATTGATATGGAGCATCGATTCTCTGAACCACTCCGACAGTTTGTTGAGGTCCTCTTGTACCGTGGGCGTATCAATGTTGCTCTTCAGCTCTCGCCAAATTTTCAAGTCATCTGCGTATAATAATAATATATATTCCCATTTTTGTTCATGAGGGAGGCCAGTTTACATGCATCATCGATTCGATAAATTAGACATACGATTAGTAAGCATATTTAGTAAAGATAATATTGTCAGCTACGTCTCGTAAACCGTTAATGCCCAGCTCTTGCTACGCTCGGGCTCACGCTGTCGCTTGAAGTTTTTCAGAAACGCTTAGTAATAACGGACGCAAAAGCCAAAACACCGATTGGCCGCTTGGGAATTCTTTATTGTAACACCAACATATAAAAAATATTTCTACTAAGGTCTGTGAACAAATATTACAATAATAAATCACAAGATTACTTCTGACGGTTTACTGCTGACTTCTTTCTGAACAGCGACCGATGAGACGATGACTGTCGTATTGATGCCTCCGCGAAAATTGGAGAAGTTGGTTTTGAGCAAACAACAATGAATTGATCGTTCGATCTTCAACTACATTGACACTCCCCGGCAAAATACCGATCCATCCCTTTTTTCTTCACGACCAATACACGTTGACTTGGATGCCATTGCGAGAACCTGGGTCACATGGACAGAGCTGAAATGGAAAACAAACAGAAAAGCCAACACACCACAAGCATACCCACAGCACAATCTCACACATCAATGACGACCTGCGCCTTCCAGTTGAAGGCATCCTCTTGCAACTGATCAGTAGATATGGTGGTGGTCACTAAGGTGAATCGCCCCATTCTGCAGGAACAGCAATATACAAATTAAAGGCTCGAGATATTTCTGATTTTTATGAGGGCTTAGATCTTTATCTTGAAAAAGATAATAGTGAACGCCTTGACAGATAATGCTTCTACCTTTAAATATATACCATTCGCTCAGCCTATTGTTGAGATGCGACCACGTGGGATCTGCACAGATTTATGGGGCATCTTATGAATTAACTTGCTATCCATTGTCAGATCTTTAAATACCACTTCACAATATCTTGTCTCACTTATTTTCTAATAACGTCTTTACTTGATTCTCATTATATTCCATTAAACCTAACATTTTACAGCTCTTTATGAATTTGATTCGACTTATTCTATTCCTATTCTCTGGAGGGTACGGTTGTGCACCAAATAGAAAAAAAGACATGAAATAAAGACAACTGGCTTGAAAATAATTGTATTAAAGCCAAAAGTGAACGCATGATAGTATAAAATATATTGGTTTCATTATACATTGCAAATGAACGTTGTCGGCCTAAGGATTAATTACTTCCCCATTCTGTTTTCTATATAAATGTGTTTATTAATGATATATTTCACTCACTTAATCTATTACACTTTAATGTTACACCACAGCACTTTAATTTTTCTAAAACAGCTTCCAATTCCTTGTAAACGTTGTACTTACCTCAATATTGGTTGATTATCGTATGCCGACAACCACGGGATGAAAACGAAACGAAGTCGATTTTCCCGCTCAACCTGGAGGACAATTGTACAATTCAATAACTATACAGCCTAGTTCAGACAATGTGTATTTATATATATATCAAATATTTAACTGTTGAAACATTATTAACTTGTAGACAATTTAAGATTTGACATTATATCATCCTTGATCGTGCCTGTAAAAATGGCATGCATTTTCATGTAAATTTATGTTTATATGAAAATAAATTATTATTATTATTAATATTATTAACACAATCACCACTTGCTAGAATGACTCTTGCAGAATGCCACGTGACCATAGCACCACCTCATGATACTCCACGCACATCCTCTTATCTACCCACTGCCAATTACCACTGAAATCGCTTGTCACTCATTCTGCCTCAATTCTAGTAGCGATGACGTATGCGAGCCTCAGTCGTCTACAATCTTTCTCCCCGGCGTGTGAGATTGCAGCTAACAATTATCTCCGTATGCATTTCATTCTCAGCAATTGCCTAGCCTCCACGGCGTATACGACCCATCTGCTGTCTTTAACATCAATCAATTCATTCACGGATGTAGAAGAGTGGACACAACTTCGAAATAATCACGACGAAAATTTTAACAAAATTATGCAATAACAACAAGGTACGAAAATAACGAGTAAGCACAATGAATTCAAATAACACCAATTGATATGACACACCACACGTATACACAAACAGTACACACAAACTCGCCGATCACATCTTGATGGAATTCCTTTGAAGAATTGGAGGACTTACACCAGTACGCCTACAACCCTTCTCAGGTTGACGATTGTACGTTGTGGAATGTACGGACACAAACAAGATTGAGCAACAATTACAATAATTGGAAATCACACAATTATTTAACACAAACATATGTACAATCAACACATCAAAGTGGTGGACTCTGCCTTGACGAACTACCCTTGAAGAACTGTAGGACTTACAGCAGTACGCCTACATTCCTTCTCAGGCTGATGCTCTAGGTTGGAAAATCGTCTAGTGTTTCATCCTCCGACTCTCCACTCTCAGCACCTTCCAGTAGACACAGTTTTCTAATATCTCGCACCAACATTACACAACTTGTTCTCAACTCAACCGTCCTCACGAATACATCACCACTACAGATTAGCCTTACTACCACTCCCAAAGGCCACCTACCTGTCGTACATTTATCTGCTACTAATACTATGTCACCAACATTAAAGTTTCGGCACAACATTTTCCGCTTGTCTCTGGTTTGCAGTGTTCCAACATACTCATTTAACCATCTTTCCAAAAAATATCTTTCATGTGCCTGGCTTGTTTCCATCATCCAATCGTAGGTATTCCTTCCCCGCATGAGTCCTCTATGCCAGGTGTCAATGTAGTTGAAGATCGAACGATCAATTCATTGTTGTTTGCTCAAAACCAACTTCTCCAATTTTCGCGGAGGCATCAATACGACAGTCATCGTCTCATCGGTCGCTGTTCAGAAAGAAGTCAGCAGTAAACCGTCAGAAGTAATCTTGTGATTTATTATTGCAATATTTGTTCACAGACCTTAGTAGAAATATTTTTTATATGTTGGTGTTACAATAAAGAATTCCCAAGCGGCCAATCGGTGTTTTGGCTTTTGCGTCCGTTATTACTAAGCGTTTCTGAAAAACTTCAAGCGACAGCGTGAGCCCGAGCGTAGCAAGAGCTGGGCATTAACGGTTTACGAGACGTGGCTACTCACTACCAATTACCACTGCAATCGCTTGTCACTCATTCTGCCTCAGTTCTAGTAACGGTGACGTATGTGAGCTTCAGTCGTTTACACTCTTTCTCCCCGGCGTGTCGGACCGCACCTAACAATTATCTCCGTATGCATTTCATTCTCAGCAATAGCCTAGCCTCCCCGGCGTATACGACCCATCTGCTGTCCTTAAAAACAACCAATTCATTCATGGATGTAGAAGACTCGAAACAACTTCAGAAGTAATCACGACGAAAATTTTAACAAAATTACGCAATAACAACAAGACACGAAAACAACGAGTAAACACAATGAATCCAGAAAACACCAATGGATATGACACACCACACATATATACAAACTGTACACAAAAACTCGCGGATCATGTCTTGGTGGAATTCCTTTGAAGAATCGCAGGACTTACACCAGTACGCCTACAACCCTTCTCACGTTGACGATTGTAAGTTTTGGAATGTCCGGACATAGGCAAGATTGACCAACAATTACAAT